TTCCTTCCTTCCTTCCTTCCTTCCTTCCTTCCTTCCTTCCTTCCTTCCTTCCTCCCTCCCTCCCTTCCTCCCTCCCTTCCTTCCTGTTGGGTTGCTTTTGTCCTTGCTTAATACTTGCTTTCACTGATTGAGTGCCTGTGATATGCTGCTAAGAGCTTTGCTACCTTGTCAATGTAGCAACTGTCAGTTTCCACCAGGCATGTAATATTCCTGTTCTACAGATGAGGAGGGTTTAAGGAGGTTAAATAGCTTGCCCAGGTCACATAGCAACTGGGCTTGGTTTCAAACTCAGGTCAGTCTCATTTCAAAGCCTGCTCTCTGAAGCATTGTGCTCTAGAGCTGTGCTCACCGCTATGGTGGAGACTAGCCACGTGTGGCTATTGACATTTCAGGTAAGTGACCTGAACTAACGTGAAATTCAGCTCCTCAGCTGTACTGGCCACGGTTCAGGGCTCAGCGTTCCCATGTGGCTAGTGGCTAGTCAGTTGGTCTGCGAGGATACAGGACATTCTACCACCTCACAAAGTTCTTTTGAAACCCGGAGCTTAGAGTTTTCCCCCTGTGTCCGTCAAAGTTTCCAATTTCCTCACTTAGAGATTTAGGTTTCTAAACCCTCCTTGCCCCTTTCCCTTGCCTTTTCTCCAAGGCACAGACAAGTGTGAAGGGAAGCCAGTTTATTTAGAAACGTTTGGAGTCTCCCTGTACATCTGTGCTCATCAGCCACCAACACCAATTTCTTGGAGGCAAGATGAGCTCATCTATTTTCTGAATTTTTATCCCCAAACAATTACTTGGTTTTCTTAGTAAGTAATGTTGGAGGCTGTACTTCCTCCTTTCCATTTCAATATTTATTTAAAATATGTGGTTTAAATTCTAGTATGATGGTAGGGAAGGGCTAATTTGTGAGACATGTTATTTCTAAATAGTTGATTGACTACATTTTAGTTTACTGTCCTTTAATGTAATGTATAAAGTTAAAAGTACTGAATAGCTGTTTTAAATTTTCTTTCGCTATATACCCTTACGGAATAATCTTTTATGGAGTGGTGGGTGAAGAAAAACCAGAGTGGGGGCCCCTTAGGGAATAATAGGTATTGATAACAATAATAATTGCCAATATTTATTGTGCACTGATGATCTCACTGAATCCTCATAATAACCTTAAAGGAAGCAGTATTATTTTTGTTTTTACAGATGGAACAAATGCAGAATGTGTTTAGTAAATTTAAGGTTTCCACAATTAGAAACCCTGGGGCTGAAACTCAGTCTGAGGCTCAAGCTGGAGCTCTAGTCATCGCCCCATGCTGCCTCTCAAAACCATGTTTCTGGGTCAGGACAGCAGGGTTGGGCGAATTAGTTCATTCATTCATTCATACACTCACTCACTCATTTATTCACCTAGCCAACAAAAGTGGGGTGCGTGTCTACCATGCAGACAGCACTGCGGAAGGCACTGGACGTAAAGAGCTGTGACAGTGCCTGCCCCCAGGGAAGCATGGATTAGAATGAGGCAGCACCTCTGCTGTTGTAGATGAAGTTGATTATAGAGTGTGCAAACTTATGGGGGTGGGATGTCTATGTATGTGGGTGGAGCTTCTTGCCAAAAAATATTTGAGGCAAAGCAGTGTCTACTGAATTTGATGTTTCCATAAAGTCAGATCCATGGTGGTGTCGGAGAAAGACTACCTGACGTATCGTTTTTGAGAGCCTGGATCTGGCAGACACTGTCCCAGCCATGTCCACATTCTCTCGGCCTTATCAATTCTGTGCTTTGCAGCAGACATCCGGTCTCCTGTGAACCCTTCCCAGGAAGGCTGCTCCACCTGAGTGTTTACTGGGGGCTGGAAGTCCCAGGAAATTAACAGCTCCCTCCGAGTGACTGCATGTATTAGCTTCTTATTGCTGCTATAACAAATTGCCATAACCTTAGTATCTTAAAACAATACAGTTTATTGTCTTACATTTCTAGAGGTCATAAATCCAAAATTTCTGTGCTAAAATCAAAGTGTTGGTAAGTTGTGTTCCTTGGTGACTTTTTCAGTTTCTAGGAACTGTGCATGTTGCTTGGTGGGTGGCCCCCTTCCATTTCCAAAGCCAGCCAGGGCTGCTCGGGTCTTCCCACCATCTCATCCCTCTGACACTGCATCTTCTGCCTCCTTCTCCACATTGGAGGACCCTTGTGTATATTGGGCCCACCCAGATCAGCCAGAATGATTTCCTTATTTTAAAGTCAGATAGATTAGTAACCTTGATTCCAGCTGCAACTGTAATTCCCCTTGACCATGTAAGGTAACATGCTGCCAGGTCCAAAGGATTAGGAAGTGGATGTTTCTGGGGGACCATCATTCTGCCTGCCACACTGTGGTTCTTCTCCCCTTGGGGGAGAGGACTCAGAGATGAGTGTTCCACACCACATCCAGAGCTCCCCAAGGGATGAAGCTCCAGTCGCCCACAATGGTCTCTGGCTTGGTGACATACCCTATGTAGGGTTACCTCCCAAACATGCTACCTGAACTGGGATCCCTATCTCAGGGTCTACTTCCGGGACCAAAAATAGGGGAGCAGACAAGACAATGTCAGGTTTGCCTGTTTAATCTGCACAGTGGAGCCAACAATCCGTGATCACCTCAGGTATTTGTAAACTTCCCAAAGGAAGGGGCAGATTAGAATGTGGTAGAAGCTATGGTGGAATTAGAAGGCCCTGGGGAGAACATCTGTGTTGAAACAGGATCTGCAAAGACCTCAGGGAGAGGCTGGACAGGCAAGCAACAGGTGGGTGTCCCACCCTGGAAGCTGGGGAGAGGGAACTGTGTGCCAAGTTTGCCAGAAAGCATTAACTTGCGAGTAACTGACTGAAGGGCTCAGATCCACAAAAACATCCCTCTTTTCAGAGGCTGCATTTTACCAGATTGATTGTCACCACTTTGTCTCACCTGTGGAGGTGTGGTTATATGTAACTGTTCAGTGTCTCCTTGCAAGGAACAGTCTTTCTGGAGTCTTCAGCTGCACAAGCCATATTTGACTTCCAGCCTTTACAAATGCATTTGATGACATGAAAAATCAGACATACCTGCTGAACAGCTGGGCCCAAATAAGTTGTCATCAGCACAGGTCTCACAGGCTGTTCCACCAAACCCTTCCTGCAGAACACCCCACATAGATGACGTTAGACCCAAAGGGATCTGTGGGACCCAGGGAGCCCTTGGGTTTCTGACTGATGGTCTGGCCAGCGTTTGTTTCTCAAATATATCTTTCCTCTGTGCCTGTCCTGAAGCTCCTTTCTATTTCTTCCTTTATTCTTTGCTGTTCTTGTGTTTTAATGTGTTCATTAATCCCTGTGTATTTTTTCACTAAGAGTCTGCAGGTCTTCAGAAGTAGGCTGTTCTGTCAGTCCAAAGATATAAAGAGCAAGTGCTAACAGCCATGTCATAATTTCACGCGAAAGTGAAACAAAAACTTTCAGTTTTGCATTTCTGAAGATGGCTGAGCTCCATTCTTTTCTAAAGGATTTATTTGTATTTAAATCAGCAAAGACTTGAAGCTTGCAAAAAGTCAAAATAACAAAGAAATTCTTCAATTGGCTGACCCAGTGCTTGACAGTGGGTGCTGAGGACAGCCTGTAAGAGTAGTCTGCTAATAGCGGTGGTTATTTACAGTAACAAGGACAACAATTTCTATAGCCTTGTGTAGTTTCACAAAGTATGTTCACATATAATGATCTCATTCCCCTTTTTCAATAAATGTAAATTCGAACCCATTTTTCAGATGGGTACGTTTAAGGCTGAGCCGTTCACTGACTCCCTCGAAGGTCTCCAGCCTTTAAGAGGTCACTATTGCAGATTGCATACTCTTTTTACTATTATTGCTACATCTTAGAGGCTCTGTTGGTCTGTGTATGTTTAAGGAGGGACAAGGTAAGGAGATGGGGGGAGTCAGGGAGGAGGAGAATGTGGTTCAGAACTTACTTGGCAGGAGCAGCTTCCGTTTCCTTCCATGCCTTCGGCACAGCTGCCCCTGCCACTGCAGGGGGACCTCGCTCCTCCTGGGCATTCTAGGGAATCAGAGGGCTCAGATTTACTCACGTGTGACTGCACACAAACATTCTGCAAGGGTGCATTTAGCATCTACTATGTGCCACATAGTGTGCTCGTTGCCAGGGATAAGAAATAACTGAAGACCCTGCTGGCATCATGTAGGATTATGAATCACAGTGTAATCAGGAGCTGGAATAGAAGGCACCAGTCTGCCTACCATTTCTTGTGCATTTGCTATACACTTTATAATCATCTAATTAAATCATTCCCATTGCAACTCTCAGGGTTGCTTATTAGTGCTGGTTAGCAGGTGAGGAGACTGACAGTCAGAGAGATAACATAACTTACCCAAGGTCTCATACTTTATAAGATGCTATTCATAATTTAGCTCAGTCCTTAGAATGACTCTAAAGACAGGTCTCTTGATCAGTGCACTAGACAGGGTATTGAGAAGGAGTCATTTAAACTGGGTTTTGAAGGCTCAATAGGAGTTGGCCATGCTTAAAAGGGAAGGA